ATTTGTGTGGGTGCCTAAGTCACTCGTCCAAACAAACACATCCCCGTCGTTTAGAAAGTAATTTCATATTAACCACCAAAATCTTCACAGTAATTCATTTACGCTTGTGCATTATCCCCCCTTCTGCTCTGAGCTCCTTTCAATGTCTAATATTTCAACTGATGTCATCGTTGCTATCGTCCTCGGGGTTCCTGGTCTTCTAATCGCTGTCGCAGCCGCTTTGTTCGCGTACTTGGCACTCAAGCAAACTCGCTACAGAACAGGTCGAGGTGATGACGCCGAGCTTCAATGCCCTACACGTTATGGCACTTCCGTGCCAATGCACTAAAGCCTCGAGTATCGCCATCACCCGCCGGCCACAGACATATATAACCATAACCTGTGCCCTTATCTTCAACTCACATCGCACAGTCTCATCGAGAGACAAACTCGTGCTGTCACTTGGCAGTACAACCAGAGCGGTCTGCCATCCTCTTACTTTGATCCACACCGAACGCGACGCTAGAGTGAGTACTTCCATTGCCGACGAAACGTTGAATGGAGTTAGCTCACATATTCTCAGTTACTTGTCACTATGCCGCAATCCAGAAACAACACTTAGCCCACAGTCAGTTGCATATTCGAATTGTTTCCGGAGTCGAGCTCCAAGATGCTGCACGCTGCCATGCAATAGATACCTCTGATTTGTATGGGGATTTATGATCGCACCTAGGTGATCGGACGACATAAAAAGGGGTAAGACAGGCTGCACAATTGTTTAGGGGCGATCGCAGATGTACTGCGCCTTTGGGGGACCAGTCCATAGGCATCACAAAATGTTGTTCGAAGTTTCGCAACTGCTTCCCTCCGAGGATGCCTGTCCTCGGGCGCTCCTCAGATACGTGAGAGCGAGTGATCAAGTTTTGAATATATTTTTCCCCTGCTGGTTCTGATATCAGGAAAACTTCATGAAATCTTGTCTATAGAGCACTCATCACTATGACGAGAGCTGTGGTGGTGACGCATTTGCGGTCGATTGCTATCAGATGCCCAAAATGCGCATGCTTGAGGACACTGCACTATCATCCATCAGCATTGTCGTCTTGCAACCGTACTGTTACCGCAGCGCCGCAGTATTTTTGACCTTGCCGATCCATGCCACATGTGATAAATAGGCCAACTGGAGTACTCAGTCACGCATCGCCGGGGCAAAGTCCGCTTGCCAAGCATGAACCCCCGCCATCCGTCCTACTGAGAATGTTCGATATCATGGCGCCGCTATTCTGCACGGCCGGACGAATGATTTGTTTTACCAAGACTTGACCAATTCCCTCCAGCTAAGCCCACGAGCAGTACCAACCCACTCACATGTACCAGGGTGCTGGAAGGCTCACGCAACAAATTAGTGCTTTGGCCAGTATTATTTGATGAGGTTCGCGGGTTGCAATGAAGGCACCAAGCATATGTTGGTGCTGAGCCTTCATGATAATTAAAACCGTCTCGGAAATACACATTCCCTGTTGTATTCACGGCAAGAGATTCAATTCCAGCGTCATTCTCTTCTCTCGCCAATTCTATAAATATTGGGTCGAACATCAACCTCTACAAGAAGTCATTTTCATCCGGATGGTAAGCTACATTATTCGGGTGCATATTATTTGCCAGAAGGCAATGCTGAACTCTCATCAGGCGTAGTACATACACACGTGATACATTAGCGGATGGTGGTGCCAGGATATGCGGTGTTGGAAAAGTCGAAGAACCAAAGTACTGTACTCGTTGGCACCTCAAAGGCACCATTGAGCCATTTCATTCGCCCGTTCAAGCGTCAGCCACATTGCTGGGCTTGCAGTCTGGGAAAGCCTGCCGCACAATGAAGGCGGACGCATCCGATGACAAAAAACACACACTCTACACACTACACTAACACAGACTCCCAAAGACAGCAGTTTCTGTAGCATGTATACGTGTACCTTATTTCGATACTTTATCCCAAGAATCTTAAGGAATACCAAATCGAGGACGTTGAAGCTCTATATTTTTAATTTTTTAATTTTATCTTTTTATTCGATTCAATAAGCTGTGTTCTGAGCGTAGGGTCTGCTAAGGCGTGCAGTTTCTTTTTGTCCAACCCCATCCTCATCTTACGCCGCGGAGCTCTACCACGGCCGCCCTCGAGGAACCAAATGCGAGATGGGCCGGATCTGAAAACAAAATGTGCCATGGCATAAGAACTGTCCCCCTTCCCCGTGGTTTTTTCTTGTTTTTCGATTTCAGTCGCTCATCAACACCAGCAGAAGCAACGACAAGGAACACCAAACTCAGAAAAGCCCACTAAATAACAATTACAACTATGCCATTATCCACTGACGTTCAGGTGGCATTAATCTTTGGAGTACTCGGCATACTCGTCGCCGTTGCGTCCGCGGTGTTTGCGTACATGGCGTTGAAAGAGGCACGCCGCAAGAGGCATGCTCGCGACGATCTTGAACTGCAGACCAGCTACGGGAGCGAAAGATACCTGTCCCGGCATACAAGCCCTCGTCGTGGTCGTTACGCTCTTTATTTACCATACATCGGCTATGGCGACTACTTGCTGCCATCCGAAATGCGGTTTCCCAAGCAGGACATCGATGTTGAACGTCTGCACGATGCCAATCGACCGTCTTCAGTCCAGTTTGACTTTCGTCACACGCTTCGCTAGCAAGGTTAGTGCCTGAACCTTGCCGCCAGGACAGCCTTATGGCCACCGCTCATCCGATTTAGCGCGCCGTTACAGGGACAAGCCCTCCAGTGCTTCACGACAAGGCCCGTCGTCCCTCCCTGTGTGCCGCCGCATCGACTACCTTCGACAAACTACAGCATCGCTCACGACACTTGCATCTTCAGTTTATGTACTTGTATCCGACATGTATCACTACATATTCGCGCATCAAGCAGCTTCTCAATAACTTTACCAACTTATGCAACACGTTCAAAGGCACAATCACTTTAGTAAGCGAAGTGTGATGAAAAGCGCAAAGATTTCGGCCCTCTTGTAACCTGCGTCAAGCTGGGGGTTTAGTTATTAACACGAAAACGGGTATTTCGAGGGCCGTGGGTGGAAGTAGACTGGATGCTCACCGGGGTGGGTGTTGGATGCTTGGGGAGCGAAATACCTCAGTACTCGCAGCGAATTCATACATAATCTGCTGACGATTGCGAGGACAGACTGCCGCCTCTACGTGATTGTGATTTCCGATACATCTCACTTGCCCAAGCAAGAAAATAGTGGCGCACTAGAGTGTTGCCGGCATTGCGGAACGCCATACCTAAAGTACCTCACGTAGATCTAGGTCAGTGCTGACATAAAACACTACTTTAGGTGCAATGTCAGCCACTTCGGGTCCTTAGGCGTACGGTTGTCGTGCTCTGTCTGCTAGCGCCCGAATAGCCACCCGAACCTTGTGCTTGTCCCGCCCCCTGATCCGTCGGATTCAGAAGGAGCGGCTGCATGCACCGAGGGATTTGCTGGATTAGATCTCTAGACTTCAGCCTCGAGCAACTTGAAAATATCTTGCGATTTGTCTTCATGCCATGCCTCAACTCGATCTTGTGTGTTCAGCTTAGTTTTCCGGGCCGATGAAATTCATTGCTGCAAGGAGAGAAGCTGGTGCGCTTCCCGTTGTTCAATCTTGACATTGAGAGCCCCCGCTGAGATACCTCAAGTAAGTCAGGTAAGTCGAGACTCCAGGCGGTCGTCAATGCAAGGACAAAAGCTCTGGTGGACTAGATATTCAGAGAATGCATCAAGTTGGCAGGAAGTGAGAAATGTATCGGCGATTTAAGCGCTTTTCATCTAGCAAGTGGTGACGCTGCCGACCTGCTCATCCGATGATTTTGCTGTCCCTCGGTGAAAGCCGGTGAGCCGTAGGCGAGGTGGCCTTGCGCTTAGTACTGCCCAGCAAGACGTTGGCGTACATGGACGGCCTGCTCTTGGAGAACCCTTAGCACATCCCTTCTGTTCCATACCTTTTGCAAAGATCGCTGGTCTTCTGAGAGCACTCTATCATCTTGCCCCGTACCTTGTAGCCCTACAGCCGAATCCAACCTTCAGCTGGCCTGATAACCTTGGGAATTCATCGCGTAACTCGTGACCATATGGGGTTTAGTAACAAGTAGCCCCCGCCCTCCTTCGCCCTAGCCTGCCTCCAATCACTTTCACTACCGCAGCGATATCCGCCCCATATCGACTCTGCATTCGGTACAGCGACAACCGGACCTCGTCATTGGACCCGAGCTGCGGTTGCCCCAGAAGTTCCATCGTGTCGCTGATTGTTGGCTCAGACCTCTCCAACTTGTATTCGTCTCCGTAAGGGTGATATAAGAAAGAGCGAACCCAACGTTTCATTTCGTTAAACTTCGGCTGCGCGCAAACATTACGAACCCTTTCGAAAATCCTAAAACTATCATGTTAATCTCGTCAGAAAATCTTGTTGCCATTATCTTTGGAATATCTGGGCTCGTAGTGGCTGTCACAGGTGTTTACCTTGCATACCAAACGTTGATGAAGACGTCGGCGCAGGGCCACGGAAGTCTCTCGAATGTGTTACCAGTCAGTCGAGAACCATCAGAGTCCCTCCGGACTAACCACGAGAGCTCTGAACTGCTCCGAAACAAACGGTCAATTCATGACCATGTTTCATCCACATATGAGTGCCACTCGCTATCACTTCATGGTCTGCGGCTGCTGTAGGGACGATGCGTCCGATACTCGTTTTAGCGCCCGTGCTTCTGTCATCCGGGGCCATCCCGTGTTAGCGCCCCGCTAACCTAATCGCAGCATGGCACCCCAGGGTAACCCCCAGTGACGTCAGATCTAGCGCACGCTCACCCGGGCAGCTGGAGCTCGCTGCCCTCAAAATCCCCCAAGCTGCGCAACATCCTGCTACACTTCGTCCTGCGATAGTCAGCTCCCCTCATACATCAATCACGAACCTTCCAACGAAGTTTCAAGCGCCTCACGGCTTCTCAGAGCCAGCATGCAAATTCGAAGCGCCTCAATATCCTCCTCGATCCTGGCAGCCATCTCGACTGACCCCGCCAACCCCAACCGACGCAGCTTCCGCATCAAGATCTTCCGGGTCCTCGTGTCCTTCCTCTCCCTTTTCAGCCTGCCCCTCTCCCGCTACCGCGCCGCCGACTTTCTCGAGCTCCGACACAATGTCTGGCACATGGATGAAGAAGAGTACACGAACTCTTTCGATCTAGCAGAGAAGCGCAGCAAGCGCAAGGGCCGCGAGTCCGACTTGCACCCCGTCGGCGACCTGGGCTACAGCGGTTCGACCTTCTTCACGACAGCGGACGGCAAGTTCCTCATCAAGTCGCTGCCCCGCCGATTCGAGCACGAGTTCTTCACTCACGACCTCTTCGATGCCTACGTAGCCCACATGAAGGAGCACCCTCACAGCCTGTTGGTGCGCATTACCGACATGGTGTACACCTCCCTTGCAACTCTTGGCGGCATCCTGGGCACGGCCCCGACGCACCACATCATCATGGAAAATCTTCTCTACGGCAAGGAGATGGAGGAGACTGAACATCGCAAATCAGGGTGGGAGACGTACGATCTCAAGCCGAACGACTACTTCTTCCCCGAGCGAGACATTGCAGGCGGAAAGCTGGCCCCAGAGAGTGTCAAGGAGAGGCTCATCGATGAATTCCCCGACAAGATCCGCATGAAGGCGGACAATAGGCAAGAGCTCCTCGACCTCCTCGACGCCGACACCAAGCTTCTCGCAGACAACAACGCCGTCGACTACTCCCTCTTTCTCGTCCGCTACCCCGGCCCGAACGTCACCGACGGCGACCGCGAGAATCCTCCCTCCATCCAATCCGATGCACACCCCTGGCGCACCGGCATCGTCGACGCCGATGGCAATTGGATCTACCGCGTCGTCGTCCTCGACTTCTTCTGGGCCAAGCACAAGTTCCGCGCGAAGCTCATGACAGGACTCGTCGATTCCTACAACGTTGTTGCGGGGCATGGACCCATGAGCATCACCGCCAACCCCGCCGAGTACCAGCAAAGATTCGTCGACATGGTCAAGGACATCGTCATTGAGGCTTGATCTGGCACCATGAAGGACCTCGGAGATTTTCCTTTTTCTATTTCTTCTACCTCAAAAGAGCGCGGCGTTGGGATTTACATGTAGCATAGCCCTTCCCTCTTCCAGCATCGCTTTTGCCTTAGATACCAAACCTTATCCCCTATACCACATCACTTTTCCATCACCATGACGTCAATGTGGATTTGCGACGCGTCTTTTGAAGTTGTGATTAATTATTGCATTAAAAGCTATCGAAGCTACTAGATGCAGATCACACGAGCGCCAGCCCTTCATAATGAAGACCAGAATCCCATCATATCCTGGGCAATTTTCCAAGTCGTCGAGGTCAGTCTCGATGATCAAATCGTGCTCATGAGCAACATGTTGTTTCCCGGAGGACAGTACTCGAACTCCATGCAGTCTCCCGTGTCCAGAGCACACTGTACGCCGTTGAACTTCTGACCCGGCGGGCACTTGGGTTTCTCATCGCCGATGCATTGGCCGGAGGCGTCATCCCAAGCCGTGCCAGGCGCACAATCGGGCTTCTCGTCTGCCACGCAATGCTTTGAGTCGAAATGGAAGCCAGGAGGGCACGCTGGCTCCTCGCTCAATCTGCACTTGCCTCCAACAAAGGTGGCCCTGGGCGGGCACCCGGGGTCCTCGCCGACGCAGGCAGTGCCGTTGAAGTTTGTGTTGCCGCTGCACTGGGGCTTTTCATCATTGATGCACTCGCCGTTCTTATGAACGTAGCCCGGAGGGCAGGTCTCCTCGTCGATGCTCTTGCATTGGCCACCGACGAAGTCGTAACCCGGAGCGCACTCGGGGTCCTCGATGTGATTACAGACATTGTTCTGGAGAATCTGGCCCGGAGGACAGGTGGGAGGTCCCTTCAGACACGAGCCGCCATCGAGAATCGAGCCAGGTGGGCATGTTGGCGTGGCGGAACCGATGCAGGTACCGTTGCTCAAGTGTCCCTGAGAGCACTGTGGAGCTTCGGTCGAAATGCAACGGCCGCCGTCAAACGTCGTGTTCTCAATACAGCTCGGGGTTCCAGGTTTGGCGCAGTCGTCACCTTCGTAGTAGCCGCCGTCATTACACTTGGGCCGATCGACAACGCAATGGGCACCGTTCCAAGTGCCAGAAGAACAAGACGGCGGGCCGACAACGCAGACCTGTCCTTGGAGGATTGATCCCGAAGGGCATTGGACCTTTGATATGGCAATGCACTGGCCATTCGTCAGGGTTGAATCTCCGGGGCAGACTGGCTTCTCTACGGCCGAGCACAGAACTCCATCACGAGTGTAGCCGGGCGGGCAGTCGGGAGGGTCGATCAACTCGCACTGGTTGCCGATGAGCTTGGTACCCGGGGGGCAGAGCGGGGGTGGAGGCGTCGTGAACTGGCAGCGGTCTCCGATCTGGGTGGTATTTGGCGGACACACGCCGTCGCCGGGGACCTTGCGGTAGCATACTTCTCCGTCGAGCTTCATGCCGGGCGCGCAGCAGCGGGCAGTGCGGGCCTTTTGGTCAACCACCAGCTCTGTGCCAGGGCTGCAAGATGGATCATCTACGGCAACGCATCGCTCGCCCTCTAGCTTGTAGCCGGGGGGACACACCGGGGGGTTTCTCGAGACACATGTCTGCGTCTTTGCATCAAAGTTGGTGTCCTCCGGGCAGTGAGGACCATCGGCCACACAGTTGCTTCCCTTCAGAATGCTGCCGGGAGGACACTCGGGGGACTGATGATGCACGCAAGCCTTGAGGGTCTTGTCGTATTGGCTCTTTCCAGAGCAGCTCGGGGGGAGGATGCTGACGCACGCGCCGTTGGTGTGGCTGGATCCGTCGGGACACGACGGGCCGATGATGTTTACGCATCCCTTGCCGTTAAAGCGGTCTGGGTCGGGGCAGAAAGGCTTCTTGGTGGAGACGCAGACCGGGCCGTCCAGATCAAAGCCGGATGGACACTTAGGGGGTTCATCGTAGACACATGCCTTGTCCCTGAACTGCAGTGGGGGAGGACAAGACGCCTTGACTATCGTGACGCACTTGTTGCCTTCCAGCACGGCATCCTCGCTGCATGCTGGCTTGACATTCGAAATGCAGCGACCGTCCTTGAAGGTCGTCTCGGGTGGACATTTGGGGACTCCAAGAATGCAATTCTTGCCGTCAAAGAGGGTGCCGTCCGGGCAACACTTGGTAAGCCCAGTATCGGGGTTGAACAGGGGTTTGATTGCGTCAAGGGTGTATTTGGTGTGTCTGGAAGAGCCGAGGGGGACTTGGGCAGCTGCTGTTGCATGCGTTGCCAAAAGCGCGACCAGGCTCGCCCGGAGAGTAATCATGATTAAAGTTGGGCTCGGTGAAATGGGTGGTTGAGTAGTTGGTGATGGAGATGCCCGATCATGGAGTCGATGGTTTACTGAGTCTTATACTCGTCACCAAAGTTGTACTGTGCCTGCTTTGCTTCAATCTCTGCATTGGCTCCAGGACAGGCATAACTCTTGCCTGTACTACCCAGGTTGTCTGGTTCCGGCCAATTCTCCCGGAAGTCTAGAAAGTTGAGATTCAACACCTTCTACCTAGAGATGACGTAGCTTCACAACTTCAAATGCGAAAACAATCTAGTCCTTTTTCTCCAAGTTTGTAAATTGTACGAAGTCAAGGTGGAAAAACTCCATTGGTATCTCATTGAGGGATAGCCGCCGAGTCCTTTCGGAATCCAATGCACATGATTGGAATAGCTCAAATTCAGGATTCAATTTTGCATCAAGGATCAAATAGAGAGTTTGAAACACATATCTCAACTTGATCTCTACCCCGCGTCTCAGTCTTTGTAACCTGTCAGCACTTGGCGTCCTAGTCAAGACATCAACCTAGTGCCTCGGGTTGCCAACTACAAGTACTTGGAATCAATCTGTCTCAGCCAGAACTGTACGAGCTCGATTAACCAAATACTCAATTCTCACATTGCGGTCCACCGAAAGCGTTCTCAGGTTGAATGGGAATGTACAAGCGCCTTTCTCCAATCCCCTGGCTACTGCCGTACGTGTTCAGTATCCCGACTCCCGAGACAAGATCGCTCAGCGGCGTTTTCGCCCATCCCAACGTCGCGATTGAAAACGGAGCCCGTTCTCGCTTTCGATTGGCTGATACACCCCGGATTGTACTCCGCGCGATATTCCACAAGACCCGAGACATGGGGAGATCCTAGTGGCCTCCACAACTACATATGTCTCACTAGGCCAACGGAAAATGAATTCGGGCATTGATGTACATCGGAGCTGGAGAAGATAGGAAGCAGGAATCCGTCACATGTAAGCATCTTGGACACAGTTTGTGCCTGATTTTGAGCAGCAGCCACTTGTTTCGGCCTTAAGAATATATAAAGCTTTTGATATGGCACACTTGAACCTGAAAACATCAAGCCTAATCGCAATGTCTAACGCTCTCCCAACGGATATCATCCGACGCAATAAGTCAACGTTCGATGCCAGGTAGAAACTCTGGCCGGATTTGTTCACAATATTCGGCAAGGTAGTAGCTGATCAGCGACGTCAGAACGACTCGGCAGCTTAGCCTCGCAAATCAAGTGCAGCGGGCGCTTGGCGAGCCGAGAAGCGGTGAAAGGGACGGGACGGCCCACCAACCCGGGCCGCGTTTTCGTTCGCCCCATTTCGCTCCAGCTCCCGACGACCAACGCCGCCATGTTACCCCGCTCCGGCGAGATCCGAGATCGACAAGATGATCTCGATAGCATTCTGAGAATGTCTGAGCCGCAGGGCCCACGACAACAGAAGGTTTGAGACTTCTTCGTCAGAAGCGGGGTTGCTGAAAGCAGAAGCTCGATTCTTGCAAACGGGATGCCGTGGTCTTGCAATTTTAGCTGTAAGTCGGGCTGAAGGAATAGTATTCGTGATGCCGCGGGCTTGGAGAATGCTCGAGTGACTGCGACCTGTCATAGGTCCAGTCTAGGGAAATGATTTTGTGGTTGCGCTGAAAGCCCACAGGCTATACACCCACATAGTCCACAGTATGTCTATTCTGCATAAGGTGAGAGCAACTCTGCTGCCGTATATAAAAGGCAGCCAGCTTCAGAAGTAGATGAGGAATATCCTCCTCAACATCACCACGTCTCTGAGGTTCTCTTCACTATATCCCGCCTACAGCCATCATGCTCTTATGCTCAATCCATCTCCTCGCCCTCAGTGCTGGAGTTGTTTGGGCCCAGCAGGCTCCCCTGCGTAGCAAGGGGAGCTGCCTCTCCTCCTCCAACCCCAACACGGCCGCCGCGCTCTCCCTCTGCTGTCCAACTCAAGACACCGAGGGTAAGGGTACCGTCGACGGCACTGTCTTCACCTACGCCTGCGGCAAATGGGCCAAATCTTCTGAGAATGTTGCCCAGAATTCTGGCAGCCCGCGAGACTGCGCCCAGCTCTGCGCGCAGGACCCGACCTGCGTCGCGGCGAGCTGGAACAGTAGGGGGTGCTATGTGATCAGAGAGGGCACTGCATTCGAGACCTTTCCGGATCAGACCGGAAAGTTCATCCTGTTGGCGAAAAGCGAAGAGCCGCCCTTCGACGACCCGTCTGCGGCGGACCCGGCGGCCATCGCCCAGTGTAATAATGAGAAGGACGCCATCCGCCGGGAGATGACGAACCAGTGCGAGATGGAGGTGCAGGGGCAGAAGGCCGCGCACCAGGGCGCGTTGCGGCAGGCGGAGGAGCGCTGCAAGGAAGAGAAGGCTCAGTGCGAGGCGGACAAGAGCCGACAGGTGACAGCGGCTCGGGAGCAGTGCGACTCGGACAAGGCCGCGCTGAGGCGAGACAGGGACACATGTGAGGCGGAGAAGAGGGAAAAGGTTCAGCAGGGCGCTGCAGCTGAGAAGCAATGCAAGTCCCAAGTGGACGACTTGCAGAAACAAGTGAAGGACCTCGAGGATAAGGTGAGGTCCGGTTCAGGTTCCGGCTCTGGGGGCACGAGCACGGGTACGGGTTCCGGCTCAGGCTCCGGCTCAGGCTCGGGTACGGGCACGGGCTCGGGCTCGGGCTCCGACTCAGGCACCGGCGGATTTGTCCAAACTGGCGACCCAGCCTGCGAAAAGATCAGCACATACAGCCACTGCAAGCCCGGATGCAAGAACTTCGCCATTGACGGGGTGAAGTACGAGCTCAGATGCAACACATTTGCCGAGCGGACCGAAAAAGCAAGATTAAACGCATACGCAACCATCAATGAATGCCTGGCGAACAAATGCAACAAGGAAGCGGACTGTCTGGGAGTTAGCTGGACGCCCGATGTGAGTACTTGACCCGGGACATCTACGAAGCCGATGTGTAAAGAGACTGACATGCTTTGATCTAGGGCGCGTGCGTGTTCCATTACCCGAAGAGGGCCGGGTTGGCGGCCAACATCGTTCCTAAGGGTGGTAACTGGCATCATGTGATGAAACTCAGCTCTTGAAGCCGATGTTGAGAGCTCGGGTGACCGTCTCTTTGGCCAGCGAGGATTTGGCGTTCTCGAGGTCGTCAAACAGCACAAATATTTTGACCTACCTTTAAGGACTTGCGTGACAATGGGATACGAGTGCCGGGTTCTCAGCGTCATCATTGGAAGTCTGCCTTCTCCAGATCACCGTTCCTTGCGTCAATTGAACGATTTCGACGTTGTTTCAAAACACCTGAAGCTTGTCTCCCTGCGTTATGGACATGGTTAAAAACAAGAAAACAGCTCTGTCTTCCACAACAGCATCCTGACTTGCTTTTTTTTTTGTACCTCAGGATGGACTGCGACAAGGCCATGGTCGACTCAAAGCATATCGTCCATAACTGGGCCTTTACGGCAGTAAGGCCAAATTAAAGGTATGATCTCAGGACAGACCTTCTTCATGGCAGCAAATAAGTGTTGGAGGAAGGGCTCGGATGAAATGAGAACACCTCTATGATTCTGACGCAACCTTGACAGTCTTCAAGTAGGGAATGAAGTGTCACAGAAAGGCATGGAAATACGATAGACCTGAAAGCATGTAGAGTGGTTGACGCAAAGCGCCAATCAAGTGCTACTAGACACCCTGAAGTTAAGAGTTTTTATGTGATTTCGGCTTCGACCCGACAACCGAAAGCTTGTCGACGGGTGATAGGCAAAAAAACATATTTCCTTTGCGTTTGTGGGGAAAGTTTCCATTTCTCCGCAAGAATGATTTGCGGGGGTTGAGTTTCCGTAGAGTCTCTGTATGCAGCTCAGCTGAGGCTTCCAATGTCTGATGAATCATTGAGACTGAGTTCAATGATGCGTTGTGGTCATTAACCCCGCACGGAGATCTGATTTCAGAATATGGGGAAGACATTGAGTCTCTGCGACGACGAGCTCAAAAGGAGTTGCGTCTGAATGATAGCGTGCATGTGCATGTTGGCAATTGCTTTTGCGACGAAAGCGCAGCAAACACCAAGCCACTGAAGAAATAAAATGTTTGAAGCAAAGCCACAGTTACACAGAAAACCTGGGGATCGGCCCCAGCCCGTTCATTCCCAGGAACGCGCAAGGCGGCAATACCATGCCCGTTCAAGACAAGCCGGGGAGAGCTTCGGCGTCAGATGTGCCTCGGGAAGCGCGCAATTGAGTTTAGCGACCGCACGCGGCACGCGGCGCCGGGCGGCCATTCCAAACAGATTCCCGCCCGCGCGGGGGAGGCGAACTACGGAAGACATTTCAGACAAAAAAAAACAAAACGGCGTGATCCTAGTCGCACGTGTAGCGCCATTGATGAGCAACGTCGGTCGGAATTCGAGGCGCGGGACGGCGGCTGATGGAGGCCGTTGCATCCCGTTGCCGCGAAGGATCTCGTGGTGTCGCCAATGAAAGGCGGCGGCGTCAACCCTTGCGACGATCTCCAGGGCCGCGGGCCAGGCACGGGATGCAGAAGAAACGGATGGAAGGGGAGGGGGAAGTCAATTGGCATGTGATTCTCCATCTGGCGACAAGGGTGATTGGAATGGAAGGAGAGAACCGGAATCTGTTTTTTTATCAGTGGTCATTTTCGCGTGGTTCCCACTCAGGGTGCCACTTTTGGGACAGCGATTGTGAGCGGTCGTTGGTGACATGGGTGGTGAGCAGTTTGTTGACTTGTGGTTGCTTCTGACTTGTGATGAGCCGAGATTCTTGGAGAAGCTTGGGCAAGGTAATAAAATGGAGATTAAACTTGATAGTGTTGACAGCAGATAATACGAGTAAACACAGGCACGCGAGTAAAGGAAAGGACCGACTCCGCGTGCTGCCTCGGCCAGGTCCGGGGGAGGCGGAGTGTCCGGCCGAGGCAGCCCGGACTCGCAACTGACGGTCACAGTGGAAGGTGGTCCTCCCTAAAGAGTGAGTCGGCCTCAACCCCCTGGCATTTCGTTGAGCGACTATCCCCGATCAGGAAAGCGGTGACGGCTTCTGCCGCGACCCTGCCGGGTTGGCGGTGCGTCATCCTTCTCTCAACAGCGCCGCTGGGCAGGAAGACCCCGGCACCGGCACATCCAGCTGCAGTTGCACTCGCTGACACTCGCCTGGCAGCTTCTTTCCCTCCAGGGATGCGACCGGGGGAGGTGATTGGGGATGGAGAGGAAGGTGGTGGGCGGTGACCCTGCTTGCCTTGCCCGGCACCGCAAATAGAGGGGCAAAAACGCATGCTGTCGTTGTCTCGCTTTATTTTTTTATTTTTTTCTGCCACTGCCACTGCCGTGACCCAAGACACTGTCCACCCACGATCCATACCTCACGAGGTGACCACACCCAAGCCCATCCCGCCTGTCCGCCCGCCGATACGGATCCCTAGCAGCTGCCAAGCACCCAAGCTAAAGCACCTGTCTGGACTGCACGTACCCATCCGCGCCGACCGCACCTTACCCGAATCTGGACCTGGGCCTGGCCGGGACCCTCCTCCCTTACACCGTACCCAGTACATAATAGATAAACTTCTTCCACACCCCCTCTCTCGACGCTCCCTCCAGCTCTGCCTCATGCTCTGCCGCCTGCGATCCGTTGTTTCACTCGCAAGAAGCAGCTTTCCCCAACGAAGATTCTACTCCTCCACCACAATGGCTTCCCTCGGCGCCGAAAAGAAGCACAAGGTCACCGTGGTGGGCTCCGGTAACTGGTAAGCTATCGCCATCACCACCACCTGCAAGTTGTACACGACGCTAATCGACCTCTCCCAGGGGCTCAACCATTTCCAAGATCGTGGCCGAAAACACAAAAGCCCACCCGGACCTCTTCGAGGAGGACGTCCACATGTGGGTGTACGAAGAAGACGTCGTCCTCGACGCCTCCTCCCCCTACCACGACCCCGCCGTCGGCTCCTCGCCGCAGAAGCTCACCTCCGTCATCAACAAATACCACGAAAACACCAAATACCTGCCCGGCATCAAGCTCCCCCACAACCTCGTCGCCAACCCCTCCCTCCAGGACGCCGTCAAGGACTCCACCATCCTCGTCTTCAACCTCCCCCACCAGTTTATCGGCAATGTCTGCAAGCAGCTGCGCGGCCACATCCTCCCCTTCGCCCGCGGCGTCTCCTGCATCAAGGGCGTCAACGTCTCCGACGACGGCATCTCCCTCTTCTCCGAGTGGATCGGCGACGGCCTCGGCATCTACTGCGGCGCCCTCTCCGGCGCAAACATCGCCTCCGAGATCGCCGCCGAGAAGTGGTCAGAGACCACCATCGCCTACGACCCGCCCCCGATGGACAACTCCCGCGCACCCACCCCGCGCTCCACCTCCCCGAACCCCAACGGCAACGGCATCGCCCCGTTGACCCCCGTCGAGATGCAGCACAAGGACGCCCGCGGCCGCACCTCCAAGACGAAGCTCACCCCCGTCCCCGCAGAGTACCCGCCCCTCGACCACCAGATCTTCAAGACCCTCTTCCACCGCCCCTACTTCCACGTCCGCCTGGTCTCCGACGTCGCCGGCGTCTCCCTCGGCGGCGCCCTCAAGAACATCGTCGCGCTCGCCGCCGGCTTTGTGGACGGCCGCGGCTGGGGTGACAACGCAAAGGCCGCCATCATGCGCGTCGGCCTGCTTGAGATGGTCAACTTTGGCAAGGAGTTCTTCGGGCAGACGGTGCACACGGGCACCTTCACCGAGGAGTCGGCGGGTGTTGCGGATCTGATCACGTCGTGCAGCGGTGGACGTAATTTCAAGTGCGCCAAGATGGCCGTCGAGGAGGGTCTGAGCGTGCAGGAGATTGAGAGGCGGGAGCTCAACGGCCAGCTGCTGCAGGGCACGAGCACCGCCAAGGAGGTCAACAGCTTCCTGAAGGCGAGGGGGCTGGAGAAGGACTACCCGCTGTTCACCGCGGTGAACGGCATTCTCGAAGGGCGGCACAGCGTTGACGATATCCCGAGCCTCGTCTCGGATAACTAGGAGAGAAGGATGGACAATGTCAATGGCATGTGTGGATATGTGGAGGATTCTCAGGAGCCTCGGGCTGGGTTTGAACGATAGGCGCGCATTGATATCCCTGGATTGAATACCACAGCGGCATGGTGTGGGATGGATGGACGTATGTATGTAGACGGATTCAAGCAATGAAAAAGCTATTCTGATCAATCTGGTATCCTCTACGCTCTAATCCAAAAACCCAAACTCCCTGTCACATTCTACGGACTACCAATCCCGCATCAACAAATTCATCTTCTCCGCCTCCGTCCCCACCGGCCCCCTCCGCCTCTTCTTCTCCTCCTCCGTCCTCTCCCCATCCCCAAACACAGGCTTAAGCACCGCATCATACCCCATCCACAACATATTAAACACCACACTCAAACCTACCCCAAGCCACAGCGGCACTTTCCCCTCCTTGTTCGCGGCCCACTTGTTCAGCTGGAAGAACAGCAGCATCACCGGGAAGAAAATGCCCGTAAGCAGCCACTGCGCCAGCTGCTGCCGGCAGCTCGTCACCGTGTACGGCTGCAGGGACGCAAGCCAGGCCTGGTAGTCGTCCGGCAGCTCGTGCTCGGCGGCGCCGTCGGTGATGAGCTTGAGGTACCGCGCCGAGGGCTGCGCGTAGGTCGGGTCCGGGCGGCGCGGGGGGGTTATGAGGTGGTAGTACCACTTTTTGCGCGGGTCGGAGGGCTTATCATCGTCGTCGTCGCCGTCTTTTGGGTTCTTATCGTCTTCGGGTATCGCGGGGGAGTAGAGCGTGTGCGCGAAGAACGGCTTCGGGATATCAATCGGCGGCTTCTCGGGCACAGACACACGGGGCGGGAGGGGGATGCACGGCGTCAGGATGTCGAGGTACGACGACCCGCCGCCCTCGGTGGCGACGATGGTGGCGTAGTCTTGCGGCGTGACTTCGTAGACGACGCCGTACAGGCCTTTGGACCAGCCCAGATCCGGGGGCGTCTTCGTCGGTACTCCCTTCTCCACATCCGCGGTTGGCGGTTGCGGCAGCGGCGGGACGGGGGGCAGTTTCGGCGGGTCAGACGGGCCCGGGAGCTGCGGGACCTTTCGGGGGGCGGTGTTGGCGAAGCACGGCTCGCGGTACGGCAGGCCCGGCAGGTCGAAGATGAGGGAGAGCGCGGGGGCGGAGACGTTTGTTTGGGAGAGGGGCCGGATGCCGCGTGCGCCGAGGAATGTTTCGGCGGAGAGGTTGGAGCCGTAGGCGAGGTAGAGGACGGACGTCGCCTCGGAGGCAGAGGAGGCGGTTTCGGAGGAGGCGGCGGCGAGGCGGGAGGGGGATGTGCGCGGGATGCTTGAGATGGGAGGGTAGGCGTGCTTCGGTTTGGAGGTTGCTTCGTGTAGGCGGGATAGCAGGGCGAGGGAGTCGAATTGCCGTGAGGATGCCATGGTTGGCGATGGGCACGCGCCGGCGGGTGGCGATTGGTGCTGGTGGCCGGGTTGAGCTGATGATGAGATGGATGCTGGTGCGGGAGGGGCGTTTCGACGGGTATTTGTTTGGTTGGGGAGATGGGGAAGCTGGAATGATGCTGGGTTCTGTGCGAGATGGGATGATGGTTGAGGGGAGGGTCGGCGGTTGGGAGGAGGTTTATTTTCCCATTGGGTTTGTCGGATGTTTTTTTGGTTTGGATGACGACGCTTGGAGATGCGACGCCTGGGACTATCGCTGCGGGCGACGGGCGGCGGACGGGGGAGTGATTATGTAAGGCGTGGGATGCCGACGGAGTTTGATGGCGGAGTGGAGATTGGACGGCGGCTTCTTTTTTTGGTGGAGACGCGGCGGCGGAGGGACCTCCGACGTATCACTTAAGACGAGGTTAAGCTTGACCTTTGGATGTGTCCCATCCTTGACGTTCAATTCATCTAGCTCAATTTTCCCTGATTAGATGCGCTCTTACATATGGTCTATGGTGTTTTGGTAATTGCGATAATAGGCGTGAGGTGACAAGGGAAGTTAGGACATCTGTATTCCGTCAATTAGAACATATACATAGAGCTATTATCTAGTATCGTCGTCTATTATCATTATCCTAATTATTTCTTCTATTATTCACTCTATAATTACGGACCATAGGGGACACTGCCCGAATAGCTAGATAACACTGCCCGACTAGCAAAACTCTGTACATATGTCTGCGGGGTGTCACGAATGAGGCGTTATTACGAGAGATCGACACTTATTTTTTGAGCTAATCACAGGATTTGATATCATAGGATTTGGAGAAGTGTGGGATTATATGGGCCTCAGATGTACTGGTGTTTAGCAGACAATAGGATAGGCCCGGTTTACAATCTGCCGAAGACTTCCTAGGGGCATTTTATTAGTGGTTTCATGACGGAGTTTCTCAGCTGTTGAGGAGGACACTGTTTGTGTTTACCGCAGGATCTTCGTTGCGGCACATCTACTACTGATTCTGGAATCGTCCCGTCTATTAACGAATATCGTTCATGGAGTGATGGTCCTTCTCAAACTTTCAATATCACGGGAACGCTTGAAACCAGGGGCGCTTGAACGGTGTCGGATCTTAGACCTTACATTGTTTAGGACGTAAAGCAAATGCGATCTTTGTTATACCTTCATCTGAGGTGGCGAAAAGATGCCGCACCTGTACGAGATCTCCTCCGCCTGCTGAATGAACAGCGCAATCTTGCGTTAAATTTGGTAAGTGATAACAATGCTTCAATGTTCACTAATGTCCCCTGGGAGTTACCATAGCTTCGGAACTCACGGCCACTAATTGAGGGCAGGTTATTTAACACCATGCCGACACCATTTAGCGGGTTAGGGTGAAGGTTTCTGCCATAGATTGGGGGTGTCAGACGTACGCCGTACTTGTTCTTCTCCTGTTCCATCCGTGCTATCTTCAACCGTAAATGGAGCCCAATAAGACAGGATGCCTTGCACATTGAACAGCATTCCTCAAAATGGCTTATCTGTGTGTAGATCAGACACGGATCAGCGTTGGTTGGGCGGCAGCCTCGGCAGCGTCAGCTTTGTCTCACCTTGCTTGCAGAAGTTCCTCAGCCGCACATTTTAGACAGCCCGGTAGATAATGGATATATAAAGGAAGAACCTCTCCTTATCGGACTCTGCTGTTTTGTATCGTACAAGCTCTGTGTACTTCTCTGCTCTACTCAAAGTCACATCGCATCAGAACCAGAGATGCAACCATCTACCGCCGCACACTACGTGCCGGTTCACGATCGCGACGTTCGTGAGAACAACGAGGAATCTAATACGGAGACAACTTTCCCCTCTCAAGATCCCATCCAGCAAGCGGATGAGGCACAGAGAGAAAAATCCATTAATCCCCCCAAAGAACACAGCGTTCTTCTAAGCTGGAGATGGGAAGCCCTGGCACTTGTACTCGCGGTAGCCTCCGTCGTCACGATGATCGTCATCCCGGCTCTTTATCACGAAGCACCTGAGGCAGAATGGCCATTCAGCATCAACATCAACACAGTCATCGCATTGCTTACGACTCTTATGCGGGCGACGATGCTTGTGGCCGTCGCAGAGGTCATCGGCCAGATGAAATGGCGGTTTTTCGACGATCAGCAGAGGCCCCTGTCCGATCTCCAACGTTTCGACCATGCAAGCCGGGGCGTTCTTGGGTCTGTCAAAATCATCTGGTTTGCTCGGTCGAGCATTGTCACAGTCGTGGCTGCGCTGGTCATGGTCACCTCCGTCGCGGTCGGGCCATTCACTCAACAGGCTGTGAGCACTGTTTCATGCTCGCGCGTGGTTCCGGGCGTGAAGGCGTCACTGCCACTATCCCACTATGTTCCCGCGGGTAGAGGCTCCGTGCCTCGGGTCTCCGCTGGGAGATGGGATGTAGCCATGGATATGAAAGGTGCCATGATCAACGGGCTTGTCAATCCAACGAGCAATGACAATAGAGTGCAAGCTGTTTGCGAAACGGGCAATTGCACATTCCCATCGTCTTCCACGGGGGTCACTCATTCATCCATCGGCATGTGCAGCTCGTGCTTCGATACGACCAGTTTCATCTCAGCACAGAGTTCAACAGGAAATACGACCGCGTTCGGCTCTACCAACTACACATTACCGAATAACCAGTCACTGAACTACATAGACCGCATCTGGTTTACTGCCAACACCACGAATCTTGACTGGGCAGAGCAATGCTTTCCTGAAGGGTTCGCGGCTTTGGCTAAAATAGCCTTTACAAACGTGACAATTCTATCTTTTACCCAGGCTCCCTGCTCCAAAGCAGGAAATGGCACCATACTGTCCCTCGCCCTGTACGCGACTTCCTCGTGCCAAACGACCAAACACGAAAAGACGAGGTCGATGTCATGGCTGTGTCATGTGTCCTCTATCCGTGTCTGAGGAGCTACCACGCTGAGGTGACGAGGGGAACGCTGGTCGAGCGCATCGTATCAACAGAGCCTGCAGTTCAAAATATGGTGGAGGCGCGCTCTAATCTCAACGACAAGGATAAATCCCCGGATGGTAGTATGGCAACCACCTATGGTAAATTCACGGGGCTTCAGATTCCCTGCTTCGTGGAGGGTGCCGAGTACGACCTCAACAATATCTCTCAGGTACCCCGTGCGGATATGACTAGCTTCAACATCAACGGCTCCGATTACCAAGTCCCGGAAACGTGTCTCTACAAGGTTGGGGGGACGTACGCACTTGCACTTCGAAACTTTCTGGCAACCGATCTCTTGCAGGGCTATTGCTGGTTCCCCAGCTCGGCTGGAGGCGTGCCCATCTGTCAAACCCAGTGGTGGCTTGCACCTCTGTACCATAATCTCACAGCAACCTTCGACTCCGTCAGTGATTCGTTCGAGAAACTTGCTGCGGCCATTACTACTCAGTTCAGAATCACGGGTACCAGCAATGAGACATTCTCTTTGACGGGCTACAAAGAGGCGGTTATCGGTAGTGTGCTTGGAACAACAGTGTGTACGAGATTCGACTGGCAATGGGTTCTGCTACCTATCACTCTGGTCTTTGCAACAGCCATTCTGCTGACCGTCGCTGCTGCGCAAAGCTGGACTGATCCGGCAATACCAGTGTGGAAGACCTCAATTCTACCAATGCTTTTCTACAACAAAGTTGACTCCTCGCACAATGAAGGAATGCCAACCTTGGGTTTAGATGAGCTGCAGAAGGTTGCAGAAACCACGAAGGCGAAGTTTCAAACTAGACCCAGCGCGAGAATCGAAGGCGATTTCACGGAATAGGTGCAAGTCTCATTCATAGCTATGATTCTGTAGGTGGTGACAGTGTTGGAGTGGCAAACTCATCAGCAACAAGATTATGTCAGAAATACAAAGTCGGAGGCAAGTTATACTTAGCGATTGAGGTTTGCCCAATAATTATGCTTCGAATCCTTGAGGCAGTCGATCCAAAGCATCCTTTCATCGGCCTCCAACTGATTGTCGACGGCCTACAGACAGCTTAAATTACGAGGCTTGTAATGCTTCCGTCGTTTGCTGGATGGGGTTTATGTAACTCTTGTGGCGATTTACTGCTGGAGGTACCTAACATCAACCCGTGATTCTAATTTAGTAGCCAAAATTGAGCACCTGCATCCTGGCGATCCCCGATCACTATGACCGATAATGCGACACTTCTGAAATCATTCAAGGCTCCCACCTGCTCGCGAACATTGGTCGCTTCCAAGGACCGTAAAAGGCCGGATAGATTTCCCAAAAGAAGACGAATAACTTGGAAGGAGGGAGATGACCAGAGCCCAGTGCGATTCCAACCCTTTTATTGCTGACTTTCGCGCTGTCTATCTGGTATGCTACGCCTTAATTAAGACTTGTCTGCCACGACCCGTCGAGTGAGGGGCGAGACTGGGATCCCTCTGATGCATGACCCAAGATGGTGTGGTGCTGACTCTTCAACGCAGGCTGGGACGCATCTCTAAGTAGTTCGAGAAGGTAGACATGCTTACTGCTCGCGGAGTCTTTCGTCTTGAACAAATGCAGTAGGTCACCACAAGAGTCAGAAAGGGCGGCTCGCGGCTAATCAGCCTGAACAATATAAGGTTGTTAGATATTGTGTCAACTGCCTTCTGTGTAGAGCGGCGATGCCTGGTATCCCCATGCGCGATGCGGCTCTCCCGACTTCTAGAATCCGTCAGGTTTTCTGCGAAAATAACAGCTGACCGGATCGGACTGGTTTGAGGATGCTGTCATGAAGAACCTCAGCCCTGACAATAAGCTGTTCGCAAGTCTAGCTGAAAGAAGATGTCTAGTTCTCATCAACTGTGTCAACTGACTTGAGACGAACAACATTCACTTAGATCTGATCTGCTCGTTCGGGCCGACGTCTTGGGTAGCGTTGAGTTTGGGGCGCGTAGGGGACCCAGCTCTTCGAGTCCATCTGGTTTACACCAACGCCAATCCGGGGTCTGATTCCTTCAGATCACTGTAAGGCCTTACATATGAGTCAACTGGGCTGAAGCAGAAAATCTGATAAAGGCCCTGCTATACATCGCGATTACTTTCTGCCCAACTATGCCGATTTCAAATACCGACTGCGTGGCCCAGACCCCTATTCCAAAACCCAGAGATGGTCCGTGACGAAGGCATACCTCGGCTTCGGGTTCAGATTGAAGTCTGACAAGCTTTGCCAGGCCGGATACAACCTTATTTGAGTGACGCTTTGGAATCATGACATTGCGAAGATGCTCCTGGCTGTGCTTTTAGACAGCTTCTAGAAGTAGAAAGGTGTGGAGCCAATTGAACGTCTTCCTTGGCATCGGGGAGCATCACCGACGGTAAGGCCGAACTTCATAGCCAAGTAGCAAGTCCAAAAGAAGCATAGCAGCAGCTGATGTTTGTAAGGTAACAACTGAATTAATGAATTTTGCTATCCGAGCATATTCTTCTAAGCAATTAGGCAGAGAACTACTCTCATTGAATCTGGCATCTTATTTTATTTTGACATACTCATTTTCTTCGTTATCCCAATGATCCCAGTGATCCCAGTGATCCCTGCTGTCTCTATTATCGCTGTTGTTCCTGCCCCCACCCCAATCGTTATTGTTGTTATCGTTGTTGTGGCCATTGTCATCGTCGTCGTCGTCGTCACTATCGTCGTGCTTGCTCACTACGCCCCCGGATAGCCAAGAATATTCGCCCGGATAGTAAAACTCATGATTAGAACCTGCTTATCAGCAAAGCGTGGTATGTAAGAAATCTGTCTCACACATAAACTCAAGGGAAATAGTCATGAGTTATCTACATTTCAACAAGACTTCCGGAGAACAATAATGGTACTAACACGCATCACATATTTCCAAAGAACACAATTGTTGCAGTCCTGCAAATGTCCGGGAAGTCAAGGGGTAGCCTTGTGCGTTGTTCCGGCTTCGTCGACAACATGGGTGGTATCCTAGGCTTTCTCGCTGCTTAGACCGTCTGAGAAGACGACAGGCCATATCCCATATGCCATCTCTTGACGCGGCGGTGCCGATAAGCTTCATGTAGGTTCCCGTGAAGTGGGCAATGATTTGGGCATGGTGGATGGAAAGGCAAGGGTTTTCTCCAGTTGCCGAGCAGAACTCATGTCAGACCACGGGCAGTAAGTGTCTTTGCAGGATTCTGTCAGAACCCAAGGCCCATAAGAAGTATATAAGCCGCTGTCTACGTCGTGCTCTTTACCTCTTTTCTTTCCTCATCACCATCAACAGTCTAAACAACAACGTTCGCTACCACCCTTTTACAAACTACATTCTTTACGAAGACTCCTCTTCACCACACTCTTTATCCAAAATGAAGTTCTCAATGTCTAGTCTCCTCATGGGCCTCGCCGCCATCTCTTCTGTGGCCGCCTCCCCCATGCCCATTGCTGAGGTCTCCGTGGCCAACCAAGAAGTACCCCGGGACGCTGCTGCCTTCATCCCTCGGGATAACTTCGAGGAGCCCGAGGCCGTCGAGACCAGGGACCTCGCCCTGACCACCGACCTCGAGGCCCCCTCTACTGGCCTGAGCAAGCGCGCCATGAACTCCAAGTTCAAGATCCACGTCGTCAACGCCGCCGCCCGGGTTCTCGGCATCATCATCATTGACTACACCATCAACCTGCTACCCGGCAGCCACGAGAGCATCACGGCCAACTTTGACAAGCTCACCAACGTCCGCACTAATGGTCCCGTCGTCGCTACCCACTTCGAAGGCGGCGCGAACCCGCTGGCTGCGGCGCAGAACGCCGTCTTTGACTTTGCTACGAGCATGGTTTCTGGTGTCATTGATCTTACTCTCAATGCGGCTGGTGTGGCTACTGGTATTGCTTCGTCTACTGGGATTCACCTTGGCGGCACCGTCGTGGCGAAGACGCTCCATGTCTTCAACGAGAATAATGCCAAGATCGGCTCCATCAACCTTTAAGCTGAATGTTTTCGGACGGGCGATGATATGATTGAATGCATGGGTTAAGGTGGTGTTTCGCTGCAGGGTGAGGTTTTTTCAACTCTTCTTTGGTTCCAGCCAATATGGGTTTTTTCCTCACCCTGCTCTTGCGAATGCGGGACGAGGTATGGTGTTGCATTGTGTTACTTAAGTATACTAGAGTTTGAATATAGTTTGAAATAGAAACTCAGTTGATGGCTCACTTTGTCTTACCATGGGGCGATTAAGTGAGGCTGTAGAAAGGTGGCAGTGATGGATCTGGACAGAGTCAACTTTGCGAAGATTGACAGAAAAAAAGGGTTTAGCGTGGATCAGCATTACTATTGCCGGAACATGGAAAATAGCGGTGCAAGCCTGAAACAACCAATTAACTAAGCAGGGCGTGAGCGGGATCAGGCTGCAGGAGCATCAAGGACAAGACGGACCTGTTGATTCGTTGAAAGCAGTTCGAGGCCCATCTGCTGACTGAATGCCATCCATCGCATCCACTCATAATCTGCTTCTGGCCCCTCATGTGCGCGTTATTATCTGCCTACCCCCTAAGATACCAATGAGTCTGCATTAATCTTTCTCTACACATGATTCCGTTGCATCCTTGGCTCTCTTCTGAAAGCTCTTCGTGCTTAGTGCGGCAATCCGACACACGAAGGTTCCCGTAACAATCCGTACCTAGCTCAGCACACATAGTCTTGCGTGTTTGATGAAGAGTTGCATCTACGAGGTTTAGTGGAAGTTTATCAAGCCAGCGTGCTGTACGAAGGCTTTGGCATCTGGTTATAAGCTTCAACATGCAGCACAAGGGCGCAGAACAGACTCAAGGACGCATCGGAAATTCCGGCTCAGGAGCCCAACACAATAACCTGGGATCGGGCAATCAGTACAACAACTCAGGTTATGGTACTCAATACAATGCGAACAAAATCAACTTTTGTATGGCTCCCGTCACATAGGTCGCAAGCAGTTCACTCTCCACGGCTTGACCTTATTCTACTTTCCATATCCACCTGGTGTCTTTCCTTTTCAGAAATCAACTCTACTACTACCGATACTATTTCTGTCACATCAACAGTCTCAAGAACCCGTCTTGCATCGCAAACACATCAGTCACGATCGGAATTTGTAGGGCTAACTCAACGCTTAGTCAACGCGGAGAAACGCAACTTCCTCGCTGATATACGAGTGACCGATCCACGAGACGACAAAAAGCGCATCGAACGCACAAAAGGAAACCTTTTGAAGGAGTCGTACAGCTGGATTCTCGAACATGATGACTTTTCTAAATGGCGACAAGACAAGAGCTTGTTATGGATTAAAGGTGGTCCCGGCAAAGGAAAGACCATGCTTCTATGCGGTGTGATCGACGAGCTGAGAGGCATGGGATACGAGTCAATCTCCTTCTTCTTCTGCCAAGCCACAGACGCGCGACTGAACAACGCCACTTCGGTCCTTCGGGGCCTCCTATACCTCATAGCCAGCCAGAATTCGACCCTTCTTGAGCTGCTCCAGGGCCAGTATGACGCGACACAAGCAGGGAAGCAACTATTTGAGGACGCCAATAGCTGGGATGTGCTTTGCGAAATGCTTTTGTCCGCCGTTCGCCACGAAAGCATGCATGACATCGTTTTAATCATCGATGCCCTTGACGAATGTATTTCAGGTCTCGATCAGCTTGTCCGTTTCATCATCAGCTTAACAGCACATGTCAAAGTCATTGCATCGAGTCGTCCCGAGTTGAGAATCAACAGGGGCTTAGCGGTGGCATTTGAGGACATCAAAGTGTACCTATCCCTGGAGCTCAACGAGAAGGTCATTTCAACCGCCGTGAAACGCTACATACACCACAAAGTGAGTTTGTTGGCCAACTCGAAAGGGTATGACGACGAAACCAAAATCATCGTTGAGACATATCTGGTCGACAACGCGAACGACACATTCCTGTGGGTTGCATTGGTTTGCGAGCAGTTAGCAGATACCCTTATTGCGGAGAGACATACCCAGCAAACACTTCAGCAATTTCCTCCCGGGTTAGACACCTTATATGAGAGAATTTTGGGTCGGATTCTCACTTTGCCAGACGCAGAAACCTGCGGGCAGATATTGGCAGTTATGTCCATTGTTTATCGGCCTCTTTCATTGCCAGAGCTGGCTTCCGTTCTTGGATACAATGGCATTCATTTGCGAGATATTGTAGAAGAGTGCGGGTCCCTGATGACTGTAAGGGAAGATACTGTCTATTTCATACACCAATCGGCAAAGGACTTCTTAGTCCGACAAGCAAGCAGCATCATGCCCTCTGGAACTTCGGCTCAGCACAACCTCGTCCTGTCAAACCTTTTGCACGCGATGTCATACACGCTGCAGCGCAACATCTATAACCTCGACAAACACGGTATCCCTCTGGAGGATATTTGTGTCCCAAATCCTGACCCTCTGGCATCAGTTCGATATGCATGTGTTTTTTGGGCTGATCATTTCATGGAAGGGAATGCGGGACAACGACAGTTTGAACAGGTCTATGCGTTCATTACACGGCATTATCTACACTGGCTCGAGGCACTGGGTCTATTGCGAGCCATATCTGAAGGAATTGCTTCCATGTCTCGCATGCAGCAGATCATGGAGGTTTGTTACAACAAAAGTTTCTTCCTATTACTACGCTTCTCGGCTAATCACTTGTAGACGTCGACGGAACCGCTTGAGAGTAAACGCTTGGTCCGAGATGCAGTTCGCTTCGTCCGGTATTACCGCATACCAATTGAAATCGATCCCATGCAGGTTTACCTCTCGGCACTTGTCTTCAGTCCAAAAAACAGCGTTATAAGAGGACTGTTTCGAACCCAAGAGCCGACATGGCCTGTGAAGCCAGTAGTAGATGAAGACTGGAGTTCATGTCTACAGACTCTGGAAGAACATCAATCCCGAGTCACCTCAGTGGCCTTCTCAGCGCATCATAGTATTCTAGCCTCCGCATCCGAGGATGGTACCGTCAAGCTATGGAACACGACTACCGGCCATTGTGTTGTAACTCTTGACACCGACGGCCCAATGTTCTCTGTGGCATTATCAACCGACGGGATCACACTCGCGGCGGCTTCATGCTCTGGCGTTGAACTGTGGAATACGACGAACGGCTGTCGCTTACGAAAGCTCGTCACCGAACACACGTACGAGCCTATCTCGGTTGCTTTTTCGAGTGATGGCGTCACGCTTGCCACAGGTGCCGATAAGAACGTCCAGCTATGGAACTTGGACAATGGCGAATGTACACGCACAGTCACAGGGCATTTTCGTACTGTCTCCTCCGTGGCTTTCTCGGGAGATGGTTCTTTGTTTGCTTCAGGTTCGCACGACAAGGCTGTCATACTTCGGCGGACGGGTACATGGACCACCATCAAAAAGATTTGGCATGATTCGGAGGTGAGATCAGTTGCTCTCTCACAGGATGGAAATCATGTCGCGTCTGCCTCCCTGTTAGAAGTCCAGGTATACAATCGGGCCAAAGATCAAATCTTCTATGCCTGGAGAATGAAGACAGACCCGAAATGGTATATGATACAGGGAACGGAGGTTCGGACAACCGACGGGATTGAGAAAATGAGTATTGTCGCAATCTCTCGCGATGGTACTCAGCTCGCGATGTGTTCTGGCCATAGCGGCGTACAAATCTGGGATACAGCCTCAAACAGAAGTAAGCGTATCCTTCCGGGTCACAATGAGCCTGTGACCTCGGTATCATTCTCTGAGGATGGGAGCCTGCTAGCATCTGCATCCATTGATGGATCGATCAAGCTTTGGGACTTGACGATCGATCAACCACGCGGGTCCGCCGGCCATGCAGCATCACAACAAACCCATTCAAGGTTTCTGAGTGCAATTATGGGTGCTTTGAGCGTCAAAATGGCCAACCCACAGGAAAGCCGAGGTAGGACAAGGCAGCGCCCCCCGCCAAGTTATCTGCAACAATACTTACCTCGTAATTCGCAGGACCCGTCTTGGCTACGACATCAAATTTCGTCAATCAACATCGAATGCCAGTCGAATTCATCAACTTCGCCTGCAGCGGCAGTCGTGTTCTGTCCATTTCATGCGACAGGGTATGCGTCTGGAATACGGAGACTAGACGATGTTTACAAATCATCAACAACCCGAAACATTTCGGGGATCAATCGGCAACAATTCTGAACGGCCATGTCTATGTCGCTACTTTACTCGGAAGTAATAGCATCGAAATCACGAACACACATTTCAGAGAGTGTGTCTGTGCGTTAGAAATATGCCACAACGCAAGTGGTCTTGAGGCTGTCTCCAAAAGCTTCTACGACAAAAACCGTGAAAGTGTACAGTTCCCTGCATACGGTTTGAAGTGGCTCCGCTCTTCAGCTTCAGGATATGAGCTCTTGACAAATATGGGGAGTATCAGTTGGACAGAAAAGACAAACGTGATACCGCTTAGACTTCCCATCCCAGATCCACCTCGCTTTGCGTATAGTTGGACATCGGTGGATGGAAGCTGGATCTATAAGGACGGGAGACGGTTTCTCTGGTTTCCTACGGAGCATAGACCGCAGGTAACGGAGGTGTATGACTCCACATTAGCCCTGGGCTATGGTTCGGGGAGAGTTCAGATTATCCGCTTTTCATAGCTGAGTTGGATGGCCAGCAGTTATTTCTGTTAATGTCTCGTGTTTGAAGTAGTTCAATCTTGCTTCGGTTTCGCATATCAGTTTCACATTTCGTTGCTGGTCAATAACAGCTAGGCACCACACAATCCACATGGACGTGTGTAAATGGGACGGCTACGAGAAATTCAATTGCCAATAAAATAGCTCAACACTATGTGTGTTGTGTACAGCATCTCATGCCTGATCGGGGCGCCCCCATCTGTCCAGCGGCGTGTCAGTGGTTGTGTCTGTTGATAGAGGGTGTTCCGGTCAGAATCACCCGCGCACTTGGCCCATAAGCATAGTAGTCCGAAACAATAAAGAAAAGCCGCAGCGGCTAGCCCGGCTAAAATGGAAGCATGCTGCAATACGTATACCGCCAACTGCCAGCGAACTGATCATGGTTCTGATGATCGGCTAGTGTCCCTAGCTGTATGTGACTATGTCTCATTATCAAAGAGCTTTGCTATCCGGGCGGATACTTCTGGCTAACCGGGCGGACAATTTTAGCTAACTGGGCAGGTAGTAGATGTTCAAGAGATGATTAACGACAACAACTACGACAATGACGATAATAACGACAACAATAGCGACGATAATGATAAGATAGAGAGAGGGATAGAAATAGTAACAAGAGTAGTAAAAGTTAATTAAGATAAAATAAACTATTAGACCTACTATAGATAGTTATCCGTCCGGTTAGCTAGAATTATCCGCCGCGGATAGCAAGACCCTTGTGAAGATAGAACGCTTCGGCAGATTGTGAACCGTTCCAATGTGGCCCTTACTTCACTTTTCACCTTGTGCCTGCTATTGCAGTCATCATAACACGATGGGCCATACGCAAGCATCTCATCCAGGAATATTCGAGTTGGGCGGCATGAGCTTAACGGGTGGCGCATAGGATAGGAACACCGTGCAAAACCACCACGGACGATCAAAGGTCAAAGTAGACCGCACAAAGTAGCATGAATGCTTGCCTGGCCATTCCGTTCCGCCCCTGTAATGACAAGAGTGATAATATGTAAAACCCAAGATCCGTCTTCTCAGAATCCCCACGCATTGAGCACGCCTAAACGCCTCGCCTCGACGAATCCCCGTCCCCAGTTTGAACATCGCCAAATATGGCCCCTCCTCGCTCTACGTTCGTCTGCATGGACCCTCCTCGCGCTATCCCTCTCGCAAGTCCTCCCTCGCTGAAAGACCAGAAACCTTCGACTGCTTCGTACTCGGATTCGATCGATGTGTCCGCCCACTAAATCTCCATCCACATCCTCTCGCCAATCGCTCATACTTCGTGACATTTTTTTGTGTTGCCTATTCGGACAGTAGGTTGTTGGAGAACAAATACAATGGGTGCATGCCTTCGTGGATATCGTTTATCGAAAACATTAGAGAAGAATTGAAAGTGTGTAGTAGTGGTAATCGTCATTTCGGTGTGATCGATCGGTCGTCGGGAGGTGTTTACTCGATTCGCGGCGGCGTCTTTGAAGAGTACGGTGACGCGCTTCTCCTTTTTAAAGAAGGGGGTGTCAGGGAACCCTTTCGGTATGATACAAGGATTTGGAGGCAGAACAACAAAGACACAAGACAAGGATTTTCGCGGGAAGCAAAAGTCCGGGGGTCAGGACTCGAGGGGGTGGTAAAGGAAGGCGCTTACGATCTCCTCCTCTCGCCCTCTTTTCTCAAGCTCTCGATGATCTTGAGCATCTCCTTGCGCCCACCGTGGGAGTCGATGAGCTTGTTCGCCATGCTCATGCTGACCTTTTCCCTAGCATTGGCCGAGAGCAGTCGCTTGACGAGGAGGTGGCGCATGAGGATGCAGACGAAGACGCCGCAGTCGGAGCCGTTTTCTTGTTGCGGGGAGTCATCGAGGTTGTGGAACCTGAGGGGACGGCCGAGGATTTCGGACATTTTTTGCGTCGCGAGGCGGGCCTCGGCGTAGTTTGCGCCGCCGAGGGAGTCGTAGTGGAAAGCGACGCCGTCGATGGCGGAGACGAGGAGCAGCGACCAGTGAGAGCCGCCCTCGGCCTGTGCGACGTTTCGAGCATCATTAATCGGCAGGAAAATGTGCGTTACTTTCGAGAAGTCGGGGAGGGCGGAGCGGATTTGGCGCATGTCGGGTTCTTTCATCAGGAGGAAGGTCATCGACGGCCGCAGGAGGATGATGCGGGCTTGGGGGTATTTCGGGAGAATCTCGCGCTCGAGCCATCTAGGTTTGTTAGGTCTGCGGGGGAGAGGGGAGCATTGAGGGGTCGTACTCTTCCCAGAAGGCGATGTTCTAGAGACGTTAGCAGCTGTTGGGTAGTGAATGGGCCAGAGACGTACGTTATCTGTTAACCAATCGTTCTTCAGAGACTTGATGTCTTCGTAGGTTACTTGGATGGGTTAGTTGACGACCTCGGGAGGGACGGAACGAAGCGGCTCGGGGCGCGCTGTTTCGGGAGAACGTACGGAGAATATCATGATCTGCGACGCAAGGCTGTTAGTCGGGTTCACTGATGATATCCACGCCGGATGCGCGGGATTCGCGTGTTAGAGAATGACTTACACGACAAATAAGGTGCCTGCGGGGAGAGCTAAAGCGAAGAAGCACTGGTCAGCTCATACAGGTCTCGTCTGTTTTTGGAGTGCAGCGCTGAAACGGGCGTCCCCCGTCAGAAAGTGTACCCCGCGTTTGCCCGCCCTGCGTTGTCGGTCTGCTCTGCGCAACCTGCGACGGCGACGAGATGATGGCAGGAGGGACGGGCCATGTGCCCGGCCGTCGTGTCGGACGGTGCGAGAGCAGTGCAACGCGGCAGCGAACGGGTTGCGGTCGCGCGGGAGGGAAGAAGAAAACGAGGCAGAGAGTCTTACAGTGTCACCAAAGTGACGGGCCATCTTCCTGAAAGGCATGCTGAGCCGCGACTCCGACCTCTGGCCGGACTTGGTGATACTGTTGCTGGAGCTCGGTGTCGGGGAGAGGGATGCGGACGAGGGCGTTTGCGCGGAGGAGGAGGAGGAGCTGTCGGAGCTTTCGCGTTGCGGTTGCGGCGGCGGCGGTTGTGGTTGTGGTTGTGTTTGTTGGTGGTGATGACGACGGAAAGCGAGGAAGCGGCTGTTCGGGTCGAGGAAGTTGCGTCAGAGGGGAGGTTAAGTCGGTTTGGGCGAGGGTTGTGTCGATCTTTCTGGGGGATCGATCACACCTGCTCGTGGGTGTTTGGGAGAAAGTTGAGGAGGGAAGGGGGGGAGAGGGGAAATGGGAATGTAAACAATTCGGGGAATGAGGGATGGGGGAGGGATGACGAGATGTTTGAAAAAAATCAAAGCCCAAAAAGAAAAACAGACGCCCTGCAGAAAAGAAGGGACCCTGGACGAGGCGGTTTCCTTTTTTCGGTGGTGCTGCAATTTTTTGGGCGGGGATGGAGGAGGGTCTCCGGCTTCTCTTTCTCTGTCGTGGGCCCTTTCACTTTGGGATCTGCTGGGGGGGATCCAGTCACAGGGTCACCTCGACCAGGTGCTAGCGGCGGCGGCGGGGTGGGGAAGAACAGACGCTGCTCTGGTATGGTCTGCCCGTTTGTCTGGGGGGATTGTGCTGTGCTGTGCTGTGCTGTGGTGTTGCTGTGTTTTTTGGATTGGAGCGAGATTGCACCAGCGGAAAGACGAAAAACTGGGAACGGACTGGGCTGAAATCTAGGGCGGTAGGGGCCAGACAGCATTGCGAATGAGGCTTGCGGTGCACCTCGATTCGCGTTGATGACTGACGATGCAGCGACACCAGCGACGAATGACGAGGGTGCGAGGACGTGGCCGTGGCTGAGCACCCCTCCAAGCAGCAAGAAGCATTGGCCAGCTGGACTGACGGATGAGCCACACTTGAGGCGCATGGTGGTGTGTGGGGGCTGGGGAGCTGGGGCCACCGGGTGCGTCGGGCTTCTCGCAGCCCGGAAAGCCACTCGACTGGTGCGGCCTCGCCGTTTCCTCCACTGAAGCACAGCACAGCGGGGGAGGGGTCACAAGACACTGATGACGGGAATGCAGGCCATGAACAACAGACAGATACTGCAAAAAACAGATTGAACACACCTTGGCACGCTGAAAGGACTGCTCGAGGACGCTGCTGGAGCTCCCACTGCCGCAGCCATCGTACGACCCAACAGACTCGACGGGGTCCTGTTTCCAATTCGACCGCGGATTGTCTGGGGATCCCCCGGGGTAGAGGGTAGTCGGAAGGTTTCACTGATTACTGAAATACGAGGAAAGGCAATTCAGACTCTCTGAATCTCGAGCGGTAAGAGCGTATAGTAGGTGAGTACTTTTTCCAAATAACAGAGCAAAACATCCAAGGACGGGCAGCCTAGCAGATGGGCAGTGGGAGCACGCCAGTTTACATACTTTCAAGGCTAGCCTAGCAAAACCCAAAAAGCAGAAAAAAAAGAAGGACGAAACCTGGGCCGATCATCTGCGATGGCAGCCACGCCCAAGTTGGGCAAAGAGGAGAAAGGGCAACAGAGAAAGGTGGCACGAGATCTGGAACGCCATCTCTCCGAATCTGGGGGTGCCGCTCTTGCGTGTCCGGCCTGTGACATTGGCTGCGACGGTGTCTTGTAGCTGGTAGATTAAAGTGCCAGCACTGCATGATGATGCCCGCTGCGCAGCTTATCTTTACTTTACTTTATTGCTCCCTCCCTCTCTCCAATAAATGGAATTAGTCATTGCCATACTTTACAGCACTGTGAGGTTGGGGAAAACGAAAAAAGAAGCGGTAATCACTCTCCGTGGGTGAGCACTGGTGCTGCAGGTGCTGCTGCTCGCTGGACCAAGATCGATCGAGGTGCCTGGTTTCACCTCGTCTACGTCACCGTGCTGCGGCACCCGTTCCAGACCATCGCAATGGGCCGTCGACCTTGATACGTTGGATACCACCCACCTGGGGCAATTCCCGCCGCAGGCCTCACCAGCGAACCTGCAGCATCACTGTACCTACTTAGTGCTTGCATTGGGAGGGAAAGCCGTCTAACCGGCCTAGGATGCCCAACGTGGCTGCTACGCGTACATGCTTTGGTGACTGCTGGCTGATGCTGACGGAGGACCTTGCGCCGGACCCTTATCCGCGGACAAACCTTCACGGTACTCACCTCACACTCACTGTGCAAGGACAGCCTCATCTTTTCTTTTCTGCTGCTGCTGCATCGCGCGCAGGGACTGCCGGGGCCGCGGGCCACTGGGTGGGGTAAACAAGAAAAGGCAGAGGGGGGAAACTCTCCGGTCGGCGCTTGCCGAGGGAGACTTCCGGTAACCTGGCGCCGCCTTTTCCCACCAACCACGATTGGGAAGGTTACAATCTGTTGGCAGCCGCTTCGTTTCCGATCTGCCTTCTTTGCATTTTGAGGAAGGGTTTCCTTCGCTGGCAGGCTTCGTATCCTGAGAGTCCGGAGGGAGAGTGCCAGACAAACACACTTCATGTAAGTCGAGACGAAAACCAGACTGAGGTGATCTGCCGAGGGAGGGCCTAGACTCATCCGTACTTCTCGAATGTCACGCCCGTGATTGTTATTGATCCGATATCACCCACAAACATCTGAGTGTGTCCAAGCTTTTCTGGCCGCAGCGGAAGGCATATCCACGCGCGGCCCGAACGTTGGGCGAAACACCCTGACAAGCACAACAAACGCAAATGTTGAGAAAATATCAGATAGTCATTCGATGGAGACCCTGCAGATCATCTCCCTATTTGCTCGTCAAGTCGTGACCATTCTTTCTATCGTACAATGTTGCTTGCGCAGTGGAGGTGTTTAAGCAGAACCACTGGTGAGACCGCCCTTGCGACCAGCCTCCCGCGCCCTCTCGGAGCCGGGCTCAAAGGACCCGGACGACGCCTTGCCGCCCTCGGACGCGATCTCGCGCTGTGATAAACAACAAATGGTCAGCGAAACGGTGTTCTGGAATCGCGATGGCAACCATGACAACGGCGCTCAGAGAGGGGAACTTTTGTAGCGACTACGAATAAACGCACCTGTCTCTCGGGGTCCATGCTGGCGAAACCACCCGCGTGGCTGGCGTGACCGCCCTTGGCGGCAATCTCTTGGACTTCCTCCTTGGGTCTTTTGGTTAAGAAAAGTTAGCAAAATGCATGCACGTAGCAACCCTCGTCATGGAAGGTTCAAATGCCGGAGCGGGTCGGGAGCGGGTCGTACCGGTTGGCAAAGTTGGCGGGGTTGCCGTTGCCGGCCGCCGCGGTGTGGGTACCGGAGCCGTGGCCGTGGCTGGCGTGGCCGCCCTTGGCTGCGATCTCGCGGACTTCCTCGGTGGGGCTGCACGGTTGTCAGTCAACCTCACAAATTCCGTCACACGGTTCTTAACATTGATGAAGCATGATCGACTCCGCAAGGAAGGTAGGGAGATGCATACCGGTTCTGGAAGTTGCCTGGGTTCAGGTTGCCGGTCGGGGAGATGACCTCCTCGGGGCCATGGCTGGCCTGGCCGCCCTTGGATGCGATTGCCTGGACTTCCTCGGTAGGGCTGGAATTGTCAGCTAGAATGTCCACCAGAAGAGAGTGGCATGGACGCACAGGTTGGCGAAGTTGGTGGGGTTGGTGCTAGCCATGTTGACGTTGTGATGCTGCGAGAAGTAAGTGAAGGACTGTTCTTGTTGACGGTCGCAAATGGGTATCTTGGATGTTGAGAATGAAAAGATTTTATATGAAGAATACTGAGATTTGACGTCTTTTATGCTTCCTCCCACTTGTTTGTTTCTTCTCAGGGAAGTAGCGGCCGAATGTCATCCAAAAGGCAGGCAGCAGCTGCCTTCCTGCAGCTTCTCCAACCAAAACAACCTGTGACGTTGCCGCTAGGTAAACAACCCAGTCCCAAGCCGTCCTCTCCTGACGATCCCCACGATTATGACGACGGACCGCACCCACCCATCCGTTTCCCCAGGATCACGCGTCGTTAACGTTTTCTGTAGGGCAAACGCGCAGCGTGTTGTGCAGCGCTTGCGCCCCATAAATGTTCGGTAGGCGGTCTGAGCCTTGGGCTGACATCACTCGATCGTCAAAAATGACAGCACACAATTTTGTTACTGGCTAGTAACTCCCAGTTGATGGACGCATCCATACCAGGGGAGGTCTGTGTCTTCTTTGTTTTTTTCTTGCCAGAACTAATATCTCGTATTTCCTTGGGCCGTTCGTTTCTGCGTAGATCATGTGTTTAGATATAACGGACGTCAATCTGATAAACGCTGTCGCGGAGCCAAACTTCACAAGCACTCCCAAGGGAAGAGCAATGCAGTATGCGCAACTCATTCTATGGGGTCCTCCGCAACGTGTACATTTAGTCTGACGTCCTTGAGTCTGTTTTCCCTAAACGTAGATTGGTGTATGCCCACACGCACGGCATCAGGTGTCATTGAGCAGCATTGATCTAAAGAGGATCTACTAAATCAAATTTCAATTATTGACTCGGTTTTGACATCATCTGAGCAGCATTTTGGCAGCTTGTGGTTTGGGTGCCCACCGCTATTGTATCCTCCAATACTCATTTGACACTGCTCTCATAAGTTCCAAAACTCATATTTCACTGTTCTCATCTGAGGATTCAACAGAATCACTTTCATCAACAGCGGTGAAATACTGCTCTTCTTCTTCATCCTCAATGCTCTCTCCGCCCCTATGTGACTTCGCCGCTGCCCCTTCCGATGATTCAGAGGCCTCGTCATCAGCATACTCATGCCGTTGCTCTTCGTCCCTGGCAGAGCCCGTCCAAGTCTCTGCCTCCATGATCCGAGCTCTAGTTTGACCGCTGTCATCTTGAAGCAAGAGATCAACCATGCCTTTGTAGTGTCGCTGGCTTGCCATTTGAAGAGGTGTTCTGCCAAAACGGTCGGCCAAGTAAGTCGTTGCTCCTTCCATAATTAA